CAGGGAGATCAGCTCGGTGCTTTGTGACCACCTAGAGGGGTGGGATAGGGAGGGTGGGAGGGAGATACAAGAGGGAGGAGATATGGGGATATATGTATATGTATAGGGGATTCACTCTGTTATAAAGCAGAAACTAAAACACCATTGTAAAGCAATTATACTCCAATAAAGATGTTAAAAATATATATATAGATAGATAGGCACAAATCCTTAGGTTACATGATGCCTACCTCTCAATAAAGCTGTTTCATGATTTTAAAAAAAAAAAAGAAGAGAAAAAAATCATTTCCTGGGTTGTACTGTGATTTATCTGGTATTTTCCACAATCCCAATCCCGTATGCAATGATTTTGTCAATATCACCAATTATAACCTTGCCTCTAAACCTCACTGGACACTTCCTAGGTATCCCAGGTGCCTTAGCCTCTCAACAGTTGGCCCGCTGTTGACCACAGCCTCCTCAAAATTTTCTTGGTTCCGTTGACTACTTACTCTCTTGGTTTCATTATGGACATTGTAAGAAGTTATGCCTATTTGGGTTCCAATTAATTGACCTTTAAATTCTTAATTTAATGCCAACATTTGTTTTGTTCTTCAGAAGGCTTATCGTAAGAAATTTCTTTGAGTGCCTATTTTGTAAATTTTAAAAGTGTCGTTTTCTCTGTAAGTAAAATTGTAAATAGTTTTTTGGTGATTAATTTATGTTATTAAGTTTTCTTTTTTGTCAGTGAATGAATATTCACAGAGGAATTATAGAGGAATTCACAGAGGAATATTATTTCAGAATTGCTGTTTTATTTGTGGTTTCTTATTCTCCTTCTCCTTCTCCTCCTTCTTCTTCTTCTTCTTTTTTGTCTTCCATAATTTGTATCTGTCTTAAATCCTTTGACAGATCTCAGAGATGGAATGATTCAGATGTGTTTCATACAGTGGAAAGAGGATAAGCATGCCAAATTTACTCATGGTTTCCCAGTAAATAAAGTCAACACCAAAATGGGAATAACACTTTTCATGATATTTTCTGTTATTTTCCACTATGAAATATTTTTCTCTGGATTAAAAATTATTTTTGGTACCCACCCATGTTTTAATAAAAATACCAAATATTGATTTATTATGTACTAAGCACTTTACAGATATGATTTATTTAGCTCTTATAACAATCTATGAATTAATAAGTTTTATTGTTCCCATTTTACAGATTAGGAAAATGATGCTTACCATGTGCCAGGCAATGTTCTAAGTGCTTTATGTATATCAACTTTTTTTTTTTAATTATTTTTGGCTGTGTTGGGTCTTCAGTGCTGTCCGCAGGTTTTCTCTAGTTGCCTCTTCATTGCAGTGTGCGGGCTTCTCATTGTGGTGGCTTCTCTCATTGCGGAGCACAGGCTCTAGGCACGTGGGCTTCAGTAGTTGTGGCATGTGGGCTCAGTATTTGTGGCTTGGGCTCTAGAGTGCAGGCTCAGTAGGTGTGGCGTGCGGGCTTAGTTGGTCCGCGGCATGTGGGATCTTCCCGGACCAGGGCTCGAACCCGTGTCCCCTGCATTGGCAGGCGGATTCTTAACCACTGCGCCACCAGGGAAGCCCATATATTAACTTTTTAATCCTTATAACAGCCCTATGAGGTAGCTATTAATATTATTCATATTTACACAGGAGGAAACTAAGGCACATAAAAGTTATTTATTTACCTTGCCTGAGTTCATGCTGAAATGTAAGTGGTGGAGCCAAGATTTGAAAATAGGCATTTTGTTTTTAGAGCTTGAATGCTTATCTGTCACCCTATATGGCATCTCTAATACAGTTTTGTTACCACATTCTTTGCTTTCTCTGATATTCTTACCTACTCACCTATTCTGTCTTCTCTGTTCAGCCACACAGCATGTAACTCCATCTCTGCTTGGCAGCACACGTCTGCATAAGTTAGGATGCATTTATGGATGTAGTAATAACAGTTTACATAATATTACGTATTTTTCAAAGCAAACCCTCTTGCATTGCTTCTGCGTGCCAACACGACTTGAGTCACTTGTTGCGTTCTAGAGGATAGTCTGGTCCCATCTGTAACCTTTAGTTTTGTGTGAGAACCAGTCTGCCCTGAGGCTTCTTCCTAATAGTTCTCCATACCTTCCCTCCAGATGGTTGCAGGCCTAAGTCTGAAGATTCTTGAGGGAATATTAATTTGATTCCTCAGCTCTTTGCCAGAAATTCTGTCCAACTTTTCCTTTCTGCTACAGTTCTTGTTCTTAGTTCTGTTTTCTTGGCACTGATTTGAGGCATCTAACACTAGGTGCTTAACTATGGTTCCTAAGCCTTGACTACAACCATTAGCTAGTTTCAACCCTACAGTAACTCTATGACATAACTATTATTACCCACAATCTACAGATGCTGACATTAAGACTGAGAGCATTTGAGTAGTAGGCCCAATATTACACAGCTAGCAAATAGCAGAGTTGGCATGAAACCTTAGATCTTTCATGCTTTTTTTGTGATGCAGCTAAAAGAGTGCATGGCACATAGAAGTAACTCATTATTATTTTCCTGTATCCTTCTGATTGGACACACTGGTTAAGTGTACAAGGAGATGACTTAAACTAATGTAATTATAGATTGATGGGAGACATCTTTCTGAATTTTTTTAGGAAAAATGTATGAGAGGATCTCAGAGTGTTTTTATAATTCAAGATGGATTTCAATCATATATACATTGTATAGTTTTGGAGATGGATTAGGAGAATACATGGGATTTTTTTAAAACTATTTTTTTCACCTATTTGTTTTTTCCATTACAATTTCCAAGTAACTTCAAATATTGAAGCTTGTGAAGAAAAAGGCCTTATTGAAGTCTTGGGCAGGTCCTGCTGTAAGTGGGAGAGGTCTTTAGAGGAATTTAAGGAATGGTGTTGGAAATATCTCTAGTATGCCAAACATAAACGCTTTAGAGAAGCTGAGATTTAAGTAATTTTCCTACTTTACCGTATTACTAGTTCATTTTTGGAGTCAGGGAGGGAAAGGGAAAGTTTCTTTTTCAGTTGAAGTGAATGTTATTTCCTACAGGTTAGATTTTCAGTGAAAAGGAAAAGGTGAAAAATATGAATTTTCCCTTTGGGCATCAGCATGGACCACATAACCTAATGCTGCCTTTACCTGATACAGCATTTCTGTCTGGCAGTTCCTGCCACTTGACCTTCCTCTTGTGAATATGATTCCCCTGAGGTGGTCTAGGATTCTCGTCTAAGAATAAGGAGTATCTGGATAGCATTGTATTTGCTTTCATGTAACAGTCCAGTCACCACTGTGATTGCCCTATTTAAACCACACATGCCCTGTTACTCTTTTGCCCCACCTAATATTTCACAGTGCCCAGTGAAAATTATACATATACTAATAATGAGATTTTTCAGGCTAATTTAAATTTCATTTTTGGGCTATTGACTGAGGATATTATTTTTAATAACAAAATTTTTAAATGGTTATAACGTCTTTCATGGGTTCTATGGGGAAAAGTCAAGAAGAGAGATACTTAATGAGGAATTTCTGTCCACATCAATGAGTTTGAAGGTTCTAAAGTATTCTGCCTGTAGTAACCAATTCATTAAATAAGTTTATCTGTATACAATGCATGGAACAATGAGATCACTGAGTGTTATGTATGGTGGTGTTATGTATGTATGTGTTTCTGTGTGTGTGTGTGTGTGTGTAAAATCTGGACCAGTGGCAGATTTCCCTCTGCCACTTGCTGCTGTGTTCACACTGGCTACAGAGGGCACTTTCACTCTGGTAAATCAAAGCACCAGGCTTAGAATTTGCTTCTTCATTTTATTATTGTATTAGTGGCCTGTTCATAAAAGACTTATTTTTGTCCAAAGCCTGATATGGATCATTTCAGGTTTCTTTTACTGACTTAGTATGGATTGGCTGTGGAATTGACCCAAGCTTTACATTACAGTCTACATTGTGAAAGTAAAAACTTAATGGGTATTTCCCGCATTGCTTTTTTTTCACTTTTAGTATTTTGCAAAGTTATTGCCCAGTTTGAATGATTATAAAAACAATCACTCGAAAAACAAAGTATTGCTTTTCATCCTATGCTTATATTTAAACTGATTTTTTTAAATTAATTTATTTTTGGCCGCATTGGGTTTTTGTTGCTGTGCACGGACTTTCTCGTTGTGGTGAGCGGGGGCTACTCTTTTGTTGCGGTGTGTGGGCTTCTCATTGAGGTGACTTCTCTTGTTGCAGAGCACAGGCTCTAGGCACGTGGGCT